TTCGCCACAGTCACGGTGAGGGATCCAAGGGCAGCACTGCCGACACCGAGCAAATTCTCGTCTTGGACAAAATACAAGCGCACGGTGGCCTGGATCCTGCGCTTCCTCCGCAACTCGAAGCTGAAAGGCGAGCAGAAGCGACAGCGAAACCTAGGCCCACTGACCGTGTCAGAGCTCCATGACGCGGAGAAGACCATCCTCCAGATGGTGCAGGCGGAGGCCTACAGGACCGAGCTGCAGCAGTTACAGGCGGGTCAGCAGCTCAACAAGAAGAGCGGCATCGCCGATCTGTCACCAATCCTGGACGCTGATGGCATCTTACGAGTCGGGGGGCGACTAGAAAATGCCCCACTGGACGAAGACGCTCGCCATCCCATTATAATCCCAGCAGGTTCTGATGTGGCGAGGATGATCATCTACGAAACGCACCGTCAGCTCATGCACGCCGGCGCAGAGCAGAACACACCCTGAACGAAGTTCGCCAGAAATTCTGGATTCCGAGGGGTCGTTCGCAGGTAAAACGAGTCCTTATCGACTGCGCCATCTGTCGCAAGAGAAGGGCGAGACCTCAGCCTCCAAGAATGGCCGATCTTCCCGCTGACCGGTTTAACACCTCCCATCCGTTCAACTTCGTGGGGATCGACTATTTCGGACCGCTCACAGTCAGGCGGTTCCGAAAGACGGAAAAAAGGTACGGCCTGCTGGTGACGTGTCTGGCCACGCGAGCCATTCATCTGGAAGTGTCCAACAGCCTGGATACTGACAGCTTCCTGATGGCCTTCCGACGGTTCGTGGCACGCCGAGGTCGTCCAAAGAAGGTTTTCTCCGACAACGGAACAAACCTGAAAAGCGGTGAACGTGAACTCCGAGAGGCACTAACACAGTGGAACCAGCAAAAGATCTCTGACGAGCTGAGCCAGCAGCAGATCGAATGGTGTTTCAACCCACCAGCCGCAAGCCACATGGGCGGCATATGGGAAAGAATGATCGGCGCAGTCAAGAGAGCGCTATCGGTCGTGCTCGGCGGCGAGGTGACAACAGACGAGGTGCTGTCAACTGTCTTCTGCGAAATAGAGAGCATGATCAACAGTAGACCGCTGACACACGTCACAGACGATGTGAGAGACCTGACAGCTCTCACACCGAACCATTATCTCTTGGGGAGGGGAAGCCGTTGTCTTCCCCCTGGAGTCTTCAGCAGCCAGGATCTGCACTCCAAAAAAAGATGGAGGTACGTTCAAGCACTGACGGACCATCTCTGGCGAAGATGGAAAAGGGAGTACCTCCATACCCTGATCCACAGGAGAAAATGGCAAGCTGACCAACGGAACCTAGCAGTCGGCGACGTGGTGCTGCTAGCAGAATCTGACACGCCCCGAGGTCACTGGCCGCTGGCACGCGTGCTGCAAGTGTTCCCGGGGCCTGACGGCCGAGTCCGCGCCGTACAGCTCATGAAGGCAGCAGGTGGTACGTATACCCGGCCTGCCACGAAGGTGGCGCTTCTGGAACTTGCCCCGTCGCCTCCTCAGCCATCTCATTAGCCGACCGAACGCAAGCAAGAAATGATGCTGGCTTACTGTGGACTGTCGAGCCCACGCCCCCGAACCAGTTAAAGTAAGGAAGAGTATTTTGCGTGCACGTGCTTACCGACGCACTCACTCTTCATTCTTGTTTTGCTTTGTGAATTTGAGCTTCGTAACTCACGCATATGGCCGTCTGTGCTTCGCGTTTGTCTTCTGAACCTGAACTTCATAACTCGCGCATGTGGCCGTTTGTGCTTTGTAGTTTATTCGATTTAGGCGTGTAAATCGTACTTGTTTGTACATCTTTGTCGGTGATCGTGTCATTTTGTGTTCTCCCTGTGGTCAAACACGGGGGTGGAGTGATGTCACCGACGAAAGTGTTCGGACCAACCCGCGCTACCGCTGTGCCGCCGTGATAGCCGGCCGGCCGCCGTGCCACCGCGGCGCCGCCGCCGCTCGCTGCAGCCGTCCCGCCGCCGCACCGCCGTCACCCCGTCCAGACTCAGGATGAGTTGTGAGGCATTGTGCAGGGCGGGGCCGCGAGCAGACGCGGCCGGCGGTCGGTACGCGTGCCGCCGACGCTGCCGAGCCGCAGCAGCGCCGCGGCCGCCACCGAGACCGAGATATAAATTAAAGACACGTCGTTTTAAGGCACGTAGGCCGCCAAGCTGGCGCCTTCAGCCACCTCCCCGCTGCAGTGCAAGTTCGCACTCGTTTTGCACACGTCTTAAGCATTGCGTATAAAATGTGGGTCACGTACGACCCCGACAGAGTCTCACTTCGACCGTCGCGCTGTGCGCACGGACTTATCTGCCCCGCTCGACGCCTCGCCCGGCTGAGCGGGGACAGAGTACAGAAGCACGCGCGCAGACCGACTCTCCTGCGCGCAGCCGCGCCCGGCGGGGCAGTGTCAGTGCTTCAGATTTGTACAGTGAATGTGAATTGTGCTCCGTGTCTGCGTGTTTCATCTACCGGTTTTCTTCACAACTGCTTCCGCTTCTTGCTTCGCGTATACTTCAATAAATCCTCTACGGGAAATCTTCACGTCTATCTACAACTGTAAATCGCCGAATATCAAAACCCAGGAGCTCACATAGCAGGCGGGCGGGCTACGAATGTCGCACAAACTCACCGAATAAAATACAGTCCACATCCAACCAGAAAAGAACTCCGAACGACAGTTTGTCGGCGACAACCGCCCTGTCCTCGCACGACCTGCCTTGGGCAGCGATCCTGTCCGACATGAGCTAGCTACCTTGGACATCACACCGGCCAACGAGGGCTCCCAGATACCATTGGGCATCATAACCTGACCTGACCAAACCGTGTCCACTTCCGGTTTACGACCAACCAACCTTCCGGTCTCTACGAGCTGGCACTTTGGGAACACCAGGGAGGACGGAAACAAAGCACTGAAAGTTACTGTGCATTCTGCGCTGTCTTTTTAACCACGTATATTTTGTTTTTGAAGCACGGACAGTGCTATAACACAAAGAGCATCTGAATCAAACGTCTGCTAAAGCCGGCATTCACGTCGGATATCCACGTCAGTTCATACTTCTACCGAATGTATGTATCAGCGCCAGGGGAACTGTATGATAACTAGGTACGGCCACAAACGGCGGACGTCATGTTTGCAGTGGGATTCAGCGGCGGCCCGGCGGCGCCGGCTGGTCAGCGGCGCTTACGAGTGGAGCCTAATGTCCGCGGCGCGATACCGTATCAGTGCGGCGCTGTACCGCTCTCCGCGCGGGGAAGCGGAGCGGTAGTTGCGCCGCCCCTCTCCTCCCAGAGGCGAGCGGTAGCTGCCCCGCCCCCTCCCCGAGGCAAGCGGCAGCCTGAGGGTGTACCGCCTCCCCCGTCCCCGAACGAGCGGTAGCTACCCCAACCCACCCCTATCCGAGGCAAGCGGCAGCTGCAGGGCGTACACTCCCCCCCCCCCCCCCCGATGCTCCCAGGACGGCGGACAGGTGCGCCGCGCTCTTGACAGGGCCGCGGCGGAGCAGCGGTAACACCACGCAGACGGGTGACCTCCGTTACGTCACGTGTAGAGGAGGCCGATGGACGCAGGACGTTGGCAGCTGAGGGAGACCGGGCAGCTGTGAGCGGACGCTGCAGGAGAAGTGGAGGAGGAGCAATGCAGGGGACTGGGGAGGAGGTGATTGGGTGGATGTAAGCGACATTGCGATAGGACTTGGCAGAGGAAAGGAGGGAGAGAGAGACGGACGGCGGAAGAGTTCTGTCAAAAAAGGGATAAAACACCCTTAGACCTAAGTCATATAGGTACAGCTGAGATACGGTCAGATGAGGTGAGGTATTGAGGAGCGTGCTAGCTTTATCCTCTCGAGTCTAGAGTCTTGATGCTCCACGATGTCGATATGAGATAATGATAATGGACGTGTAGCTAGCATAAGCTGCGGATATTATTCCACCATACGATATGATTCGGTGATTGGTTGGACGACAGATGCGTAACGATGTTGCATGATGTAGCTAGCTCTTGTCAGTCGCTTCATCCGCTCAATTGAGCACAAGATAACGGAGTGATGAGGCATCACTTACGATGCAAATACGGACTTCGTTCCCAGCCTACTCCACCTCTTATCGAACACTTGCATCACAGCTGACAGTAGCGCCTCTCATGTCTTACAAGACATTCAATCAACTGAGTCCAATTATTGCATCACAACAGATACCGGAAGGCCTAGCATCTTCTATTTTCTTTGGTGCAACTTACAACTAACTTTAACGCGTTATTGAACAAGGACGCCGCACGCTTGCATTTCCGTAGGAGAGCGTCCTTATCTGGGCATGCCGATTGCCGATCCTGCTACCGTGAGAACTGTCGTACCCTGCGACCTCACCGCTACAGCTGGCAGCACTGCCCCCGTAAGCCAATCCGCCGGTGCCGTATAGGCGTGAAACGCCAGGTTCGGAACGCAGCAGGCCCGGAATGGACGGGAGCGGCGCGGGCACTCCAGTAAAGGCCCGTTTATGATCCGACAGGCTGGTAGGACTGGAGCTCGTAAAAGTTGAGATAAACTGAGCGATGGAAGAGTTTGTAAAGCGGGCTCAGATGTCGGTTCACGTGGACTCGTATAAGCTGTAAGGTTCATGATCTGCGGAAGATGCGATCGATCGAATGCTTCGCTCCGATCGAGTCGTGCGGTGCGGGGATAAACGGAGGCGGGTAGCGTCCGTGAGTAGCAGTGAACGGTGATAATATGCTATCTTGACAAAAATACACTTTGAGAAACAACAAGTCAGTAGATAAAAGACCAGCAGCAGCCATACGCGACCACCGTTGAAATGCCCCATTCCAGAATGGGCATACATAGGTAGGCCTATTTGAACTACAAACTTCAGGTCGGCACAGGTCAGACGGACACGTCAGGGGACGTTGGACCGCCTCGAGCCCGCACCTCGTCCCCGGGAGGACTGCTGCCGGCCCTGCTGCCCTCCCAGCACGGTACTCACCAGATGGCGTGCAGCAGAAAGAAGAAGGCGCCGGGCACGGCCAGGTCATCACTGCCGATACTCCAGCGGCGCCGGAACGCCACCAGGCCAGGCATCGGGCCGCCTCGCTGGCCACCGAGCCACTGCCGACGGCCGCCGCCGGTGCCGCGAGCCGGCCGGCGCGACGCGATCGATGGACCCCGCACCGGAGCCGGTCATAAGACCTCAGAGACACCTGGCGTCAGAGGATGAGAAGCACTGATAAGGGACCACGACGCCAGAGAGATATTAGCCATGAGGGTCGCGCGGCGTCTACCCAAGGATGGAAATTAATTGAGTTTGTGTGGTGGGTGGGCTGCTCATTTTTTCAACAACAGTGAAACCGGCAAACGGCACGTAAAATGATCGCTATCGCGTAGTGACCACGGGAGTGACACGAGGCCGCCAAAAGCGCATGCTTGTGGTCGGGAGTCATAAATCTACTTCCGTTACCTAATGAGCAAACTCAGTACTCACAGAAAGCGATTAACTCCTACAACTCATTGTCGACTCACGATATCAAGGCTGCCTAAGGCAAGATTGCGAGAAAAAGTAAAAATAAAACTTCGTTCTTTGACTCTCCCGGCCTCTTCGCCGGTCCTAAAATAAATAAAGAACGTTTCAATGACACTAGTGACACCTGCTGGCAGTAGTTAAATAAGGTAAAAAGTTTGCTTGTTAAGTTATAATATTTTTTAATTTTTTGATAATGCAACTTTCTAAGATATTTACTTGAGTTGTAATGACATATCTAACAAGAAAGATTGCAATAAAATATCAAATAATATGTCTTTACCTGTATACCACCAGGTGTCTCCTAAACAGCTATGGGTCGGTTGTTTATTTACCATGAATGTGAAATAACAAGTAACAACGTCCATCGGCAAGCTTGGTTCGGACTTCGGGAGTGCCCATACGCGGGGTATATTAATTTTGCGAGGTGAGGAACATTTTTCTCCGAAGTGTCTAGCGACATAACAATGTTGTTTTTCTTCGCTTGTTTTAGGACATTGAATGGGACACGCCTAAGAGCTGGACTTTTTGATGACGTCTTCGGGTGACGTCATGTCGTGTGTGACGTTTCGTGAGCAGGTAAGGAAAAGTCACCACCGCTGGCGAACATTGGTGCGGTAAATGGCAAACACAAATGCTGCGCAGAAAAGACAAATGTGTAACTTCACACAACATTCGTTCGGACGACAATAGTGTCAAGGCGAATCAGGAAGTTCTTCATGCGATTGTTAGTTATCTGTCGTGCTATTTTTGTATGATTGTTATTAGCAGTTGATTTGTGAAATGTATTATCAAAATCAATGTTTATTGAACGCAGATTCAGTTTATTTTCAGATGTACCTAGGTACCCTTACACTTCACTCATCTCAAGCTGTTCAAACACCCTTGACAAAGTCGATTAAGATGAAACGCTGGGTATAATTTATACTGTGTTTTCTCTGCATTATTAACATATTCATCATATACAATATAAGGGCCACATGTTTTTTACAGGGAGACATGTCAGACAGCCCAGTAGGATGAGGCTTCGTCAAGCGTCATATTTAGCAAAGCTTTTCTTGCTTAAAAGTTAAAATGACAACACTCACTGGGAAATGGTGATATGATATTATTTTAATGGCCATTGAAAATTCTGTATGTCAGATTTGATATTCCGAACAGCTGTTTGGCAAGATATTTTCAGTACCTAAGTAATCCACTTTGCTAGAGTACTTTTGTGCGCTTTTACGTGAATGCATCCATTTCCCCCTGAAATAAACTTTTATTGTGATATCAAGCATCTTTTTTCATTGTGTTCAAACTTTGAATTTCAGCGCCAAATGCTGGCTCTGTTCAACCTTGGACCCCCATTTACAACAGCCAGAATCAAGATTCTTTGTCTTCTTTTAAGAACTGCCGGAATAACTTTCCTATCTTACTTCCCGTAACCTGAAACTTGTGTTTTCTCCACCAGGGTGCAAAATTGGTATAATGGTGGTCAAATTTGATTACCATGACATCATCACTGTAGTCATACTTAGCAAAGCTGTAGTCAAAAACAGTATTGCTAAAAATGACCACTCTTGACCAACCAAACCTCACCCCACTGAGTTCAAACACCATTGTCAAAAGTCCTTACACTTGACTCCCAGCTGTTGTGTCTTTGCTATGCGATGTTAAACATATAAAACATCTTACTATTCATGTATGCGCCATGACTCATGTAATCTTTTCACAGCCAAGACGCTCCTAAGGTACTGGGAATGTGGGGAGTGCAGCAGCATCAGTGCAGCACCGATGGTCGGATGCGACGGCTGCGATAAATGGTACCACTTCCGTTGTGCGGGACTGACTAAGGAGCCAGGTAAGCGCAAATGTTTTCTGTCTCAGTATTTTTGTTGCAGCTATAGTGATCAATGAAATATTTTCCGCACTGTTCAGCCAAACATGTATTTCAAACAATCAGAATCTGCTTCCCAACCAAGGGCGTCACCACAGGGGGGGGGGGGACGGAGGGGATCTCGTCCCCTCCACTTTTTAAAATTTAACATTACGCCTATGGCGTTGCATGGAAAGAATCGACTTGAAATGGTCCTCGTCCCCTCCAAAATGGTCATGTCCCCTCCAGTCGTCGCACCGTGGCGTCGCCCCTGTTCCCAACTACACAAATTTAGTCAAACAATGTGCCAATATGGAATTTTCAGGTTCAGTTGAATGAAATAGGAACAATGATGATTGTATATTACGTATACCTGCAAGAGAGGAAAACAGAATACATTGTATTGCTTGTCCTTCACCGATACTGTTATTTTTCCATTTCTAGAAACACCGACATGGCGATGCAGGTGGCGCTGCCTGGTGAGGCCGCGGTCTCCGGAATCGCCTGCAGACGAAGTCACCTGGCGTCCATCTGCACATCACTTGCAGCAGTGAGGCCTGCTGACAGCGTCTGGCAGTGTCGGCAACGTGCCAGACAGCTATCTGGAGTCCTGCTCACCGCAGGTCGCCGACAGGAGGGGCGACGCATCGTCTCCGAGGTCGCCTCAGCAGCAGTGAGACCCCACTGGCCGTCTTCTTAGGCTTCAACTAGATTGCGAACAACCTATGCTGAGACAACGCCCATGACGTGTGATCCGGTACCGCTACCGCACTGCGTGCCTGTGCCCGCCGTGAGCCGCTAGTGCATGGGTTCGACCATGAGAATATGTGTTTATGTTGCTTTTACTATTGTTTATACGTTGAAGTGACGAATTGTTTATTTTTCGCAAGCCTCCGCTGTCCGGTTGCCTGCAGCTCCATGCAACGCCAGCTGTACTGTTGTTTTAATGTTGTCTCTCCGCTCAGCTGTGCTGTTGCCTCTCCGCTCATAACAACCTATGCTGAGACAACGCCCATGACGTGTGATCCGGTACCGCTACCGCACTGCGTGCCTGTGCCCGCCGTGAGCCGCTAGTGCATGGGTTCGACCATGAGAATATGTGTTTATGCTGCTTTTTATACTATTGTTTATACGTTGAAGTGACGAATTGTTTATTTTTCGCAAGCTTCCGCTGTCCGGTTGCCTGCAGCTCCATGCAACGCCAGCTGTACTGTTGTTTTAATGTTGTCTCTCCGCTCAGCTGTACTGTTGCCTCTCCGCTCATATATGCACCCTCTATATGAATGGCACTACTGATTGTCACACCCACTGTCCGTATTGTCCGTAGTGGTGTCTGAGCAGTAATCGCCGTGCACTTTCAGAATGTGGATCGCTCATGATTGTTCAATACTACAATACAATACGCCCATGTTCATACAGCGTGCAGAATCCAGATTCTATTGAGGAGAGTTGAGCCAAGTCACCATAGGCTCGGGAAGAGAGCAACGTGGAGGCCCACTGCCCCTTCCCCGGCTCCCACTGGGGCGCCAGCCACTCCAACTTTTGACTGGATGTCAAGAGCGTCGCCACGAGGGGAACGAGTCGCCGGCCAGCCAAGGTAGCCAACGGCGTATGAAGGTTGCCTGACCTCGAGGAAACTGAGATGGCACCAACGGAGGTTTTGTTAAGTAGGCGACCAAAATTCGAGCGGCAGCAACCTGGGCACCTTCACAGATAGCAGTGCCGCGTATCAGGGCGCCTTCGACGTTGAGCTGGGCGCCGATCATCAGGACGACGGGGGAATATGACCCAATATCCCTCGTAAATATGTGCCTCGGAAGGGAGACCCAACCATAAAACTAAAAGCTCGCCGTATTTTATCCACTATTTTTCGAGCAGGTCCATAGATTTCCGTCCTCAAAAGTGCGGGGATATTCCCCAGTGTTTGAGCTGGATGGGACTATAGTAGCGTTTACACCGACAGGAGATTCCCATTGCCGGCTGTCGGAAACTACTGTCGGTGTAAACGCCATTCATATTTTCTGCGTCACCCCTGTGGGACGCCCTTACTCCATGGTGCCGAGCTTATCAATTTGGATATCAATGGAATCAAAATCTCTTATCGATCGATGAAGAACTAAATTACCCCGACCCGGAGAGCGTCTTTGGAATCAAAGCAGTAGCACATGACGCAAGACTTCAGGCAAATAAATCCTTCTTGTCTGAAATAAAACATTTGTGTATTGATAAGCACGTTTTATAAGCAATGGTAGCAAGATTCTCCATGTATTTGGTTAAAGTGATAATTTAGTAGCAGATGCTTACCATCGCATTTCGTTTTTTTATTTAATAATTTAAATTGTCAGAACTAGCAACATGTCTCTTCACTCAACAATAATTACAAAAGTGAAAAGGAAATGATAAATTGCTTATATTTTGGTGAAACTAAAAATTAATTCATGGCACATATTTTTTTACAGCGTTGAAGTCCAGCTCCAAAGGACAGCTGACGATCGTAGCCGAGCAGGCTGTTTGGTACTTCTTCACTATTTCTTAGAAGTACCCGTTAGTACCGATCATGTCTCACATAATAAGCTATTGGAACAAAAATATGCATGTTCTTCTAATTATTCTCCTTTCACACTTTAAATAAATACTTTTGAAATGCATTTACTAATTAATTTCACAAAAACGGCTTGAAATTTTACAACGTCAAAATACTTATTCGAATTTCCACCATTAAACCACCACTATATTACTTGCTTAC